GCCCGGATTGTGTGGATTGAAACATGTATGGGTCTGAACCTATAGAGAAAACAAGTGCGCTCAGCATCATAGGCATTTTCGCACCGCTTTAGTTCCAGAACTAAATGTACGGTACTAAAGTCATTGGTATCTTACCGTGCTCTCCGCCATGTGGTTATGTTTTAATTACTCTGCCCACCACTTCCGGCCCGGATTGTGTGGATTGAAACATGTATGGGTCTGAACCTATAGAGAAAACAAGTGCGCTCAGCATCATAGGCATTTTCGCACCGCTTTAGTTCCAGAACTAAATGTACGGTACTAAAGTACTGGGACGATTTTGCGCGAACTATTTCCCAGTACCATTTAAAGGGTTGCATTCGTAGTGTACTAAGAAGTGACGTAAGCTGGTCGACAGCAACGCCATTTGTGCGCGGCGTTCAACAACAGAAACAAAGAACAACGTCAACAACAGGAGGATGGAGGACGCTGTGATCGGAGCTGTGTTTTTGTTGTGTCTCACAGGTTTCACAATAATGCACATGGAATGTCGACGTATACGTAAAGCGATTGAAAGAATGGAAAGGAGGACTAAGAATCTCCAACGACAACTGGCAGTGCTACATTTACTACAAGTGCCTGCACTTCAGCGTCCGTCCATCTATTGCTGTTCTCCATACTTGCAAAATAAGTTGACACAATGTTTACAGTATGTTTACACTGCTGTACATGTTTGCAATGTTTTAAATCATGGCGGGTGAGGGCGTTTTCTTACGCGTTTGGCCAATCAATGTCTACTTACGTCACGATTAGTACCAGTTGTGCTGGTTAGACCCTGCTCCGGAGTAGGAGCTAATTTGGTTCTCGAAAAAGGCAGTCCGGTACTAAAATCGCACCCAGTTCCGGTGGTGCGAACACGCCGAAAAGTGGGTAGTTCCACAATTAGTTCTGGTACTATGAAAAGTTTCCTGCGGTGCGAAAGGCACTCATGACACCCTCATGACATAGACCCTTTTTAGGTGGGCTCAGGCCTGGCCAAATCCAACCCATCTGGCTCACGAGTTCTCCGTGAATGTTTTTCTGGGATACAGGGCCTTAAATTGGAGTAAACAAATGAATAAATAAAACAGGACAGAAACAAATAATGATCGATATTACTGAATTCACAGCAAATGCAACAAACTTAATAATGCATATTTGTCACATAGAAATGCATTTGCCAGTAAAGCATTGATTTTGACCTAGAAAGCAGAAAATGTTCTGCTATTAAATTCATTTCATCACCCTCATGTCATTCTTACAGTACTTACAGTACTTTCTTCTGTGGAACACAAAAGAAGATATTTTGTAGAATGTTACCAAATCATTTTGGTTACCCTTGATTTCTACTGTATGGACAACAAAAAAAATCTTGAATTTCTCAAATTATATTATTTTATGTTCCACAGAAGAAAGAAGTTCATACAGGTTTGGAATGACATGATGGTGAGTAAATGATGACCATTTAAATTTTTGGGTGGACTATCCCTTTAAGAACTTTAACATTTGTGAATAGTTAACACCTAATTTGTATAAGACTCTGATCAGGCTCTTATTGAATTGACATTTTACTTCAATTAAAATTATTTAGACTTAACATTTAAAGAGAAAGACGCTGTTAAAGCTACTAATGAAATTTACTATAGTTCTTACAGAATCCAGAGTTTAACTGACTAGTATTAGTAAGATGGTGGTCACAGCACGTAAAACCATGGTCCTCATTACCATGTTTATATGGTTTTTAAAATAAATAATAAGTAGCCTAGCCTAATAATAAACTATGGAATTTATAAAAAAATATATATATATATATATGTAGAAACTACAATAAATTCTGCCAAAACACCATAGGCTATTTGTACAGTGTTTATAACTGAAAGGTAAATGACTATGGTGCTGAATTGACAAGCTTGTAACTATGTATTGGCGTTTTCCAGTTTACCTCATCATGCAGTTTACATTGTCGTGGCTGTTTTCGGCTCAGCGATCGGCCCACTGCTCGACCGGCCCACCGGTAATGTTCAGCCCCCTTAAAACTATCTGAACAATCGGGCCAGTGCTGCTTCATCAAAAAAGTTTATCATTCTCATGTGTTTAAGGCTTGTCAGTTTAAACATTCAAGTGATTTTAAGCTATTCAAGCAGAAGACAGCGCAAAAGAGATACTGTAGATCATCACAAAAATGACTCTGTTATTGTCTTCTTGCATTATTGACAAACTATTGTCCTTTTTGACACCATAAAGCTGCTTTGACACAATCAGTATTGTATAAAGCGCTATACAAATAAAGGCGACTTGACTTGACACCTGAAGCATGCACACATGGAAGCCATCTCTCAGACGGCACTGAAATACCATTTGAGAGTGAGAACCAGAAGGGCGTAAGTGACATTTTGGGTGAAATGGACACAAGTGAATTCATAATAATTTTGGAGTTATTCATTAGAAACCAAAAGACTTAACACTGAAAATACTACGCCAGTTGGTGCCAAAAGAGCATAACTGCACTTACGCCACTTTGGCATTGAGAAATGTATGTAGGGTAAAGCCCGTGGATAGCACATGAGTCAAAATAGCTGACACAACAAGTAAGCCTGGTAGGTCAACCATGAGAAGACAGCCGTTTTTAACTACTGAAGATCTATTATCAAGCTTATTTTGTGACAAAGAGCTTCATGATGATGGAGAAAATGAAAATATCCAGCATTCAATGTCAGTGAGGTGTAGCTAGCAGGAAGTAAGCAATAACTTACATTATAATGGAATATCATATAGGCACTCAGTTACCACTTAGCCACAAGAGAGAGAATGCAGAGAAGGGATTATTATTATTATTATTAATAATAATTAGTTATGCAATTTATTACTTAAGTATCATTCAGTTAATGGTATTTGCTATCAAATATTGTATTACAAACTCTAGTAAAATAGTAATATACTGTATTGAAAATACATTTATTTCATACTAGTTGAAATTAACATTTTATTTGCTTCATTTATTGTCTATTTTCTGACGTTACTCTATACTTATATAAATATAAAAAATTATAATTAAACTTTATTTGAAGTACTACTTGTGCACAATGCACATTTCTCAATATTAAGCCTAAAATGTGTTTTAATGTAATTATTGATGAGGATTGTATGACCTTTGAATAATATCGGCCTTTTAAATGCAAGACATTTAAAGTGTTCCTAAAGTATACTTGCAATAGTTTCACTCTTAACACAATCAAATATAGTTCAGCATATCTTTAGTTGGACTTCAGCACTACTTTCTTACAATTAAAGTGCATTAAGTACAAAATTAGTTGTTCCAATTTAGCAGACTTTAATTATGGCCTACCAGTTTAGTAATGTGTAAATAATATGTAAATGTATTTGTAGTATACTTAGCATGAAATAAATGTATTTCTAATACATTTTTGTATATTTATTTTTTACTAGGGAAGGCATCTGTAAAGGCTTTTCAATCTCCCATTTGGCTAAATAGTGGCTGGGATTACTATTTTAGGAAAAATGAAATACATTCAGTTAACTAATTTGTATGCAACGTTTTATCCCAATAGATTATTTGTTTTAAACTTATTAATGTAATACTTTTTCATATTGTCATCAGATGTAAATATAAAAAAACATTTTACAGGCTGTGCTATCTGCACAGACGCATTGTAGGCTACTCTGTAGGTTCAGGAAACAATCCTCCATATCTTAATATTTGGGTTGAACTGTTCTGGAATGGTGTTGTAAATACAACTTAACCTCTGATTTCTAGTCGTGTCCTCTTTTGGAAGACCAAACAAAGTAGTTTCGCTTTCACAACGAAACACACAGCGGCCTAGAGTGAGGAGCGTGCTTTCAGCAACCACGTGTGATTACCAGGACTCCGCTTCGTCCACGGTGAAAGCCGATCCGTCGCTCGACAGCGTGAAGTTGATGTATTTCCTCAACGACCAGCACGGATCAGCTCTAGGCATGAAGAAGCGAATATCGTCCTCTTTTGGAAGGGCAAACAAATTAGCTTCGCTTTTACAATGAAACACACAGCGTCTCCACGACATGGCTGCAGCAACAATACTACAGTGAGAATCAAAGTTACGCCTTCTTTCTTTGTGTGAACATTTGGGTGGTGTTATGCAAATCTTCCCACACAGTGACGTAGACATGTGGGGGCGTGTTTAAACGAGGCGTTTTAGGAGGGCATGGACAAGTCTTAACTTTTATAAAGAATATCTCTTTAGGTTTTAGTTCAAAGACTAAAGTCTTTGCAACCTATGGGACGCTATCTATGCACGAACAGTTTGTAACACTCCCCCCCCCCATTTGAATTATAAGTGCCTTGTAAGCATTTCCTTCAGTTACTACATATAGGCTATATTCCCTGCACGTGACTCAAAAGTGAAAGTGAAAGACAGAAAGTGACGTTTCCTTTAAAACACGTATAAATGTCGCACCTCTCTGCTTGGCGCTGTTATTTCATACACATTCATGTGGATTTACCCGTCAGCGTTCCCTCTGAATTCTCCGGGACAAGTGGACATGCATATGCTCGTTAAATTGATTTTCATAATGGCGGCATATCAGCATAATATTGCCAGAGCAGAAGGTAAGTTTGGATCAACATTACGGGAAAATACACATTTACATGTTGAGTAAACCTGAAGAGTGTTATTGCTTAACTGTGGACTCTACTATTAATAAATTTAATTGGTTAGCTAAAGCACGTTCTCCATGAATTAATAGGGCCTTTCTAGTAAAAAACCGAAACCACGTCTTGAAAAAAGAAACTAGAGATGGAACATTAACTTGAATATGGAATATGAAATAGTGAAAACCCATTCATGTGACAATCCCCTAGATTATGGAAATAATAATTATATTACTTGCAGCTTGCTTTTATTTATTTATTTGTTTGTTTGTTTAAATACCGAGCTTTTTTTTTTTAATACGTCTATTTATTCATTCATTTAAAAATAAGTTTAATTTTTTTGTTCATGCTGGGAATTGTGGAGAAATGGACAAATGCTGTTGGAGTAAATGCTGGAATAGAACAACATTTGAAGTGGTGAAATACACCATACAGATTAACTAACTAACTAACTAAATATATATATATATATATATATATATATATATATATATATATATATATATATATATATATATATATATATATCTCTATA